TATATTTTATCTTATCTTTTATCTCTTCATGTTTTTAATTATTCAATATTCAAAAATATTTTAAAAATTATTAAATATTATCTAATATTAATTTTTAAAATTATTAAATATTTAAAAATTAGCTAATATTTATTTTTATAAAATTTTAATTTAAAAATCTCAACATATAAAAATATTTTTAAAATTAATTTTATCATGATGGAATCAATTTATCATATTCAACCTAACAATTTAAAATTTGAAAATTTTGAATTGACTTATCCAAACAAAATATTTTAAGAATGATAGAAATTGAAATCAAAGTAATTCAAATATTAAGAATTTAAAATTCCTCATCCAAACACACCATTAGGGATAATAAGGCTTTCTGCTTGTAATTATGAGGTTTTGTCTCTTGTTTGGTGCTAATTTAGCCTAGGTTTGATTCCATTTGGCAGCTGCATGAAACATTATTAATTAATTCTTGCAAGAGTTATCATCTGAATCAACATTGAATAATCTTTTCCCTGACATTTCTGAGGTGGATTCCTTTTGTGCAGAAATTCCAAAACAAATAGTTGTTGATGATTTGTCAACATGAATAAGTTGTTAGACTTTGGGAGGAAGGCCCTCTTTTATGTCAGGGTTCTTTCTGGATATGAAGAGCGAAGAATACGGTCTTACAGGCTGCAGCTTGAGCAACGTGTACAGCAGGTCTAATTTTTTCTCTTCCATGAAATTTATATTCTTTAGTTAGTTTCTGTTCTCTTTTAGAAAACACATGAGAAAATAAGGCATATGAATGTTGTGAGCTAGGAGTCTAGGACATAGGATTTCATGTAAAGCTAGGGCACTTTGCAAATTGCAATAGCCAGGAAGTGAGTCTCATTTTAAAAATCAAATGGGACATGTGTTGGGATCTAGTTGCAAGGTATGGGACTTTAGTCTTACATTGGAAGTATGGGATTCTAATGTGGGGTTTGTAAGGCCTTGGCTCTCTAATTACGATAGCTAGTTTTTGTAGGCTCTCCCAACGATCTTATCAACCTGCCTAATGTTAAGAGAGAAGGAAAAACTGTACCCAACTATTCTTTGGAAATGGCAGGGGAATCTCCACCAGCCAATCAAAAATCTAATAGTTTTTTTTTGTTGGAGTGGGTGTGATGCATTTAATTCTTAAAAAATGTTCAATATTGAATATGTTGGCGATTATTGACTATTGAGTAGTCACAGTCCTCAGTCCTCACAATTCCGAAGCACTTCTATTCTAGATCTAATAGTAGTACTGGTTCACGATTTGCACTTTTGAAGTTGTCGATAAAGAAAGCATCATCGTGTTGATCCAGTCTGAATAAGTAGTAAACTTTTAAGTTTTAAGAAGGGTTAGGTTTTTATTGTTCTGGTATCAGTATGGCTTTCTAATAAAAATAGGCAAAGCAAGGTAGTAATGATATTTCATCATAATATTTTTTTCCTCCTTGTTGCTAAGCTCCTATTCACATGGGGAACACGTGAATATAACCTTATAAGTAATAACCTTCATTTTTCATTGCGGTGATGGTGAAGGCAGATGTTGGGTTTCCTCTTTATTTCCATTCTGATTCTGATGTGTATGATGTTTTCCTATGAAAAAGGCACGAGCAAGGAAAGCAGCCATAAATAAAGTACCTGAGCAGGTTATTTTATCCGAGGTTCGTCGAATGGTTGAAGAGATGCAAGCTTTGAATAAGAAGCTGGAAGAAACGGTAAGTTTTATTTCCAGGGAAATATATAAATTTTTGGAAATTTAGGATTTGAATACATGTATTTCTTTTGGACGTTTTTGTATGTTTGTAATTTTCATTCCTTACTAGTCACTTATAAATATGAAGGCACGATGTCTTCTAACACAGAATTTTAATCTGTTTTTTCCTTACGAAGTTATACCAACATGCATTGAGAACTTCTGTGTGAAAATGAAATACAATTTTTTTTCATCTTTTGTTGAACTTGAAACTCGATGATTCATATTATTATGTCTATTTTATTTTTTGTTTTTTGGATAGAAACATTTGTTCTGTCATAATTATCTTGATTAAAATAATTTTCATGTGCGGTATTTGATTTATTTTCCTTAATGTTTTGTGATTGTTTCATTTGTGGCACTCAATTTTATTGCATGACAAGATGCAAATATCACGCAGGAGGCAGCCATTGAAGACTATTTCAAACCTTTAGACAAGGAAGCTGAGATTATAATGAAAATGCAACTACAAGGGGAAGAGAGAACTTCAGAGATGTTGATGAAGACACTGGAGAAACAAGCCTTGCTTCAACAAGCTGAAGCAGAAAAAAAGGCAGGTATGCATCAAGTTCATAACTCTGAAGCCAACCTGACTGAATCTGAGTTGATGGAAGAAGAGAAAACTTTGAAGGGGATGTTGAAAGAAATGCAGCAACAAGTTTTGCTTGAGAAAGCAGATGCAGAAAATTCTGAAAATGTGCATGAAGCAGACAAGTCTCATATCAATCTGACCCCAGCATCTACCACCACTTCTAAATGAAGCTGAGGTTATATAATTTTGAAACATTGATGATTCCTGATTTTGAGCTTTGAAATGCATTTCAGCTTGGCTCTGAAATGTCAATCATCCTTGAATTGGTGAATTCAACTAATCAAGGTAGGACTAGGGTATATTTGTAGTTTATTTGTATCACTTATTTTTATTCAATAAAATTTTCGTCTTTTGAGACATGGTCAGATAGAAAATCTACTTGCGCAACTTTACTATCCAAAATATCACCTATCATCCTACCAAAGATCTTCAACTTACTCAGAATCCTGAATGTGAACTAAAGGCTGACTAAAATCCCATGGCTCATACAAAAACTGATCTAATCGTTGCCAATTTTGAAACTGAACTCATCCTCTAACAACTCCAAAGATTTGAGAATAACATTCCAAGTAGGACACCCTTGTTTGGACCACTGAGTCATGAACAAATGTCCATCTTGTATATATTTTGCTGTCAACACAGATACCCATCTTGAATATGGTGTTTTATTGTATCAAGTTACAACGTCACGTTGTTACCAAAAAGAAGTTATAACTTCACGTTGAGACTTTTGGAAGATAATCTATGGAAAATTCAAGTGGGGTCATTTATGTGCTATCAAGCAACATATTCCTATAGAATTAAGAACCCGAGGGTAAATTTACTTCTCAGAATTAACATCAAACAATTAGACAAATAGGAAACATATAATGTACACATACAAAACTAATACTTCTCTTCGGCTCACGTTACGATGATAAGCTTCAAGCAATTGATGAGCAAACCCTTTAAACTTTCGTTTAATGGTGAGCAATTTATGGCATGAAGTGTTGCCTCATTTGTAGGTAGAGTGAGAGAAAGGAGAAAGGAAGAGCCTTGTGTTGAGGGTACAGTTAGCATGCTGTGCATTTTGATCTAGTCCAAGTACTAATTGGATTAGTTATAAGGACAAGAGTTAACGAGCTTATTAAAGGCATTTTGCTAGAAACAAATTCATGAGAAAAATGTGTTTTAGATATTTTAAGTTTTGGTTAAAATTAATTTTAGTCCTTACACCATCAAGTATGTAAATCAACCAAAATGAATTTTGTTTTAACTTAACCAATTCAGTGAGAGATTTATCGTTCATAATGATTTTACTTGATTTAATTGCCTCTAGTATAAAATATTTTAAATAATAAGGGACTAAGACTAATTTTAATAAAAAAATTGAAGAACCTCAAACATAATTGATGTAAATTTTTTAGGATTTTCTTAAAAATAGGTAAACAAAAATTAAAGTTATGAAGAAGAATTGTGATTGTAATTGTAATTTATCAATATAATTAACACCATAAAGTTCACAACTTTAGAACAAAGTAGAGCTTGCACAGTAGAGAAACACCCAATTTGATTAATTTATTCATTATGTCTTGAATGCTTATAAGAGATTAAGTAACCTCTGCTAAGAATTAAATTCCTACTAGTAATGATTTTTCACTTAGTTTTTATTTTCCATTAAAAATGACTTCCTAATATTCCCCTATATATTATAATGGTTTAGGAAGCCTAAAAGTAAAAACACTAAAAATTGATCTAGAAAATATTAAAAATTATTTAAACTTATTCCAACAATAATAAACATGAAACTTACATTAAAAAAGTGGGCTTAATTCACTATTCAACCCAAAAATAAGTAACTCCCTCAAATAAACTCTAACTCACAATTACGTTTTAGTATTGGGTGATAGGCTCATTGAACTCTAGATTATTATTTTTAGTTAAAATTATTTTCAAGTTATTTTTTTTTTTGAAACAACAAATATTAATTAATATTAATTAAGGCACTAGGAGTGCCATAACTCTGTTTTACAAAGATTTTGGTTAGATATAATATAGTAAAATAACTATATTACTAGCTAATCAATTTAATTGTCAATGATGGTAATTAAATACTCGTGAATCCCAACACCTTCTACCTACAGATTTGATCCATTTCCCATATCTACATATGCTAATATTCCTTCGTGGCCCAATATGGTGCTTTTCATGATTATTTCCAGCTGTTCCAAGTTTGGTGTCCAAGTTTGGTGAGACACATGAATGGCATTAAATACCTCGTCTCGCATCCAGAAAGACCCTTTCATTTCCATTTTCATTTCCATTGGACCCTGGATGCATTTCTTAAAAGTGTAACATTTCTTAAATTAGACTTTATTTTATATGAATCTTCTTTAACTTACACTTCTATGAACTCTTTAGTTCTTTTAGCTCTTATTTTAATTAATGGGCCATCCATGAAAAGAATAGTTTTTTGACACCACGAATAAAAAATAGGAACTTAAAGAACACGGATGAAGAACGTCATTTTGTTACCGGTGCGTGAGTAGTGATGCTTATTAAGTGTGGTCAAGGGCAGTGCTGTGTTATGCAATTTTGTTTTGAATGATCAAATTGAGGGCAGTATCGTGTAAAGAGAGCGAGAGAAAAATACAAATACAATGTGTCGTGTAATAAGAAAAAAAAATATATAAAAAAGAATGTAAACACTACAACATAATTTATAAGTTAGAACAGAATAAGTCATTAAGTGTAATTTAATTATAAACATTTGTATTAATAATTTATTTTTCTTAATAATATAAAAATAATAATATCTTATAAAGAGTTGTATGTTACTTAGGTAAATAAATAAGAGAGATTAATATTTATTTAAAAAAATAAAAGGGATGTGTGGTTATTGGATTGAATATATTGGTTTTCTCATTATAACATTTAATAAAATATGATAAATTATAAAATTAATTAAATATTATAACAATTCTCTTTCTCTCTTTCTTTCTTTTCCTTTTCTTTACAATCAAGAATAAAAAAGAGTATTGAGCAAAATATTAATCTCTCTGTGATGACAAATAATTTAAGTTGATATGTAGCAAGTGTAGCTGTAAATCAGTTATCATTTTGAGAAGAATCAAGGAGTGTGAGCTGAATATTGTAGGCTTCCTTTAGCTCTGCTAATACCTCTGCAATAGATGGCCTCTGTGATGCATCTCTCTCCACTGACTTTATAGCAATCAAAGCTACTTTCCTCATACTCAAGGGATCAAAACTTCCTCTTATGTCTTCATCCACAATCTCATATGCACCAGCTTGTAAGTATGGCTTGGCCTTCAATTGGTAGTTATGAACCAAAAAAACAAACAAATCAACTGTTAGTACTCTATATTGGAGATGATAGAGAAATAGAAAATTTTCTATTACTTGGTTAGTATATACTCACTTAACTATTATAATCGGTCTATTATATTAAAAAGTTAGAGTAGTATATAAAAAATTTTAATTCAAACTTTGTTTTCATCATAATTTTTACTAATAAAAACAAAACATAAAAAAGAAGTAATTGTCTTTAAATCTATATTTATAATAAACCGTTTACATGTTTTAATAACTACTTTTTGTTTTATTTTTTATTAGACAATTTTACTTCTAAATTTATATCACATGCTTTATAATTTTTAAAATTACTCACTCTATATTCTATAATAATAATAAAAGAATAACACACTCTCACTGATACGTACAGTAATATTCTTTCAAATCTTTATATATATATATATATATATATTTACTGCAACCATCTTTTTTCAAAATCTCTCAAAAATAAATAGAGACATGATATTTTTTTTTCTGCCAGTAAGAATAATGTTGCTTGATGATTAGACTCACAACTTTGCAACTTCTGAGATTTTATTTTCTAATTACTAGTATTATTTCTAACAGTCTACAATGTTGTTAATTTTGAAAAGAAAAAAAAAAGTGAAAAATGGACAATAATAGCCAAACATGAAATATAATCCAATGTGTCCAGACAAAATAAGGGAAAACAAAAACTTGTAACTAAAAGCCTTAATGGGTGATGGAAGAAGACCATATAATTATATTTAAAAATTTGATTAGGTGCTGGTTTAATTGATGAGGAAGAAAGAAAATACTGAGCAATTCATGTTTGTCATTCTGATTAACCCATTGATCTAGGGAAAATATAAAGTTTGCCCATGACTTCAAAAGATAAAATTAACTCGAAAATTAACAGAGGGAGTTAGTATTAATCATATTTCACATATATTTTAATTTCTATGCCATATTCTTGTGGCCACTCTATTGTATGCAATGGCGGAACATCAATAAAAAATTTGGGAGTGCCAAATTAATTTTTTTATATATAAATTAATTTTTTTACTAATTAAAAAAATAACAAAAATTTTTATTTTCTTTATTCAAAATAAACATGTAAAATAATAAAATTCAAAAATAAATATTATCATTCATTAGTCATTTCATAAAATAATTATAAAATGAATATATATATATATATATATATATATATATGAATATATATAAAAAAATATTTTAAAAAAAGTTTGGGAGAGACGTGGCTCTCCTATCCCTTAAAAGGTTCGCCACTGATTGTATGTACATCAAATTAGGTTTTCCATTTGATATATGTGCCTTCATATATTAGCATAAATTTTTAAGGATGTCTTCCACAACTTTGTGTGAGAGCCTTAATGAATGATAGTGACATAGAGGATTGGTTACATGAGTAGTACAATTTCCACAAAAGATTTTAAAGAGCAAAGAGATAAATGTGAGATTAGATAAGTGATGTGTTGGAGAGAGAAAAAATAAAGTATGTATAATTTATTGTTGAATTTTGTTATGTGAATATCATTACCCTGTTCCCATTCTTCATGAAAAAAAAAATTAAATTTTCATCCCAAGGAAAATTAACTTATGTGCTTTCAAACCCAAACCTCTTTTTGTTTTAGGGGAAAATGTTTGAGATACAAAAGTTATGCATATACTTTCACCTAATTGCTCTAGCATTTGGGTTGAATTGATTTTAAAATTTAATAAAAAAAAACATTGTTTCTACTCCTTTTTACAAGCAATAAAAGGAATGATATGTTACCCATAACACCAAATTGAATGAGTCAGGAGTTCCAGAGTGAGTCAATGGCTCTCTCCCACAAATGAGTTCCAAAAGAACAACTCCAAAGCTATATACATCACTTTTCTCTGTCAGTTGTTGAGTGGAATAATACCTGTACATAGAAATTAATTTGCATATATGATTTATTTACAAGACAAAAAAGGCCACTAATTTATTAATGACTTTAATAATCATTTTTTCTCTAAAATATGACCTTCTTTTTTAAATTTTTATAAGAAAAAA